AGAAACAGTACAAGGAAGCTATATTACAAACAGCATGTCTTATAATACAAAAAACAGGGTTCAAGGAACAACAGTAAATCCATTCTTCGGAAAACAACAGGGATCAATCAAAGTAGGAATACTTCAAGCCATGTTACTAGGAGAAAACAGAGAAGAAGGAATTGTATATCTCAAAGGAGCTCTAAAAATACCTAAGTGAATGAATCCCTTCAAAACAGAATTTATCAATGGCAACCATTGGATTATATTTGGCTTTGATGAAAAAAAAGATGTAGCAAGATGTTTGGAAGCTGTTAACAAAAAAGAAGCTGAGAACTTTACACTTAGAAGAATGGAAAAAATATGAACACACAACCAGCCTTCCAAAGATATGCTCAGAACAAAAAGTTCTTCAAGCCAGAAAACTTTCTATTTGCTAAAAATAGATCAAAATATATCACATTGGTAGATACAGATCACAAGCTTGGCAAACATATGATTAGACAAACAATGAAAGAATTTGAAGAGATTATCAATATTTATGAATATAGAACATCTTTCCATCAAAAATGGTTCAAAGTTCATTTTTATGCTCATCAAGAATATATTAATTTGGACAAGGAATGGGTGATAAAGATAAAATCCAATCAAGTACAATCCGTAATAGTCCACAAGGAACAAGATAATCAAGAAATTACTTGGATTCTAAAAGAAAGAAAGAGATACTCCTTAAGACTTTATGGAGTTGATGGAGTATCTACAAAATCTATAGAAGAAGCCTTAAACTATATGAAGGCTAAGGCCTTTTATATACCAAAAAACAAGATCACCTTGGTATCAGAAAACCATGCAGTAGTATACTTTGAGAATGAAAATGATCTAAGAGAGGTACTCCAGCATCAAATAAAGATCGACAGTCAAGGGCTAGGATAAAGTGCAAAGAATTATTATAATCGCAAGGTGTCAGCCGATCCAGCTAGGTCAAGCAATGCATATATAAGAATTAAAGAAGCAAGGGAACAAGATTGCAAAAGCAATGATAGAGCAAATGGAGATAGAGAAAGTAATGAAAATATTATGGAAACTGAAAAAAAAGCTATATTGATAGTAAGACCCAGAAAAAACAATAGTCAGTCAGAAAACAGGGGAAGTGCAATGAGGTCTATATCACCAGTAACTGGTAGCAATAGGGAGCCACTAGGGAGATGAAGATACTAGGAAGCAAATGAAGTTCCATATCAGGCTTTACAATATTTCTCAGAAACAGATTATGAAGCTCTGAATACTAGACGACATCAAAGGCAAACAACAAGACAGAAAACAAGAAGCCTAAGATCAACTATAAAGCAAGAGTTAGAGGTAGCCCAGCTAAGCAAAATATTAGAAAAGCTTAGCAAATGACTAGACAAGCTAGAAAAAGGTTCACTCAAAAGGAGGGCCAACCAATCCTAAAAAGACATATCAGTTCAATTACAGAAAAAGAAGGAATATCAGCCTACCATTCCCAAGTCAAAAATACAAAACAAGGGCAAATTATGACAATAGAGAAGAACAATAGTAGATGACAGCAAAGTGATCAAGATCTTGATACTTTTTTATAAATAGAAAAAGATAAATTTCTAGAAAGAAATGAAGAGAATCAACAGATAGAAAAAACAAAAGAAGAAGATATATAAAAAAGAATAATTAGAATAGGGACACACAATATTAGAGGTATTACTAATAGTACAAACCAGTATAGTCTTATAGAAGAAATGCAGAAACAAGGCATTGAAATAATGGAGCTATGTGAAACAAAACTAACCAATGCAAAGACAAGATGGGCCTTCCAGAAGCAAATGACTTTTAAGAATTTTCATAGTATCAATAAAGACACTCCATATAGTGCAGGTATTAGTCTCTTGATAAGAAAAGATCTGGAAAGAAAAGTAGCTTCAGTAAAAGAGGCAAAAGGATATATAATAGCAGTTAATATGCTTATGAAACGGAACAAGATGTGTATCATCCAGATCTATATTTCCTCAGACAAACGACAAAGCATAAAGGTGCAGAAGAAAGTACAAAGCTTCATTAAAGAAAAGAATAGACAAGACTTTCATATAATAGTTATGGGAGACTTTAATGCTGCATACAACCCTGCATAAGACAGGGCATCAACATCTAGAGATAAATTTAAACCATCTTGGTACCCAGAAATTCCGCTATTCAACTTTTTAGATGAATAGTTCTTCCTTGACATACAAGCTATATTGAAAGGAAAAGATAAAATTCCAACAAGATGGGATGCTACTAGCAGTAGTTAGATTGATTATATATAGATATCTCAAAGTCTTACAAACTATTCAATACTCAGATTTGACAATCAGAATATGGAGAAAACAACAGGAAGTGATCATATTATACTAGTCTAACTATTCATAACACCAATCTTTTCACAAGAGATATTAAAAACAAGCCTTCCACAAAGAGGGAACAAAAAATTGATATAAAGAGGTCAATACTTGAGCAGTAGAAAGCATTCAGTAAAAGCCTGAATCACATACTCAGAATAACAATGGATCCATTGTTTAAAGAAGAATCTGAAAATGGTAAAAGAGAAGCTCAAGCAAATAAGATCTGGAAGATATTTGAAGAACAAATATGTAGGACAGCATACAACAAGCTTGCGACCAAGAAGCTATCTGCTTTTCAAGAAAAACATCATAGGCATGGGCCAAAATTCATCAAATATCAGAGGGCCCTTCGACTATTTTCACTCTTTAAGAAGGCAGAAAGTACACATGATCCAATCAAATTGCAAGCCCTTAGTATAGCGATTAGGGAACACAACTCTACCTTCAGTCCTAATCATCAGATTGAAAACTATTGCATCCAATATAGCATTTCTCAAATTCCATAGAAACTACTAAAAAAGGATATACAGGATGCAATAGTAGGTTTAAAACTTGCTTGTCAGAATATAGAGGCAAAAAAAACAAGGGATATTATCAAAAGAGCCTTAGAACAGAGATGTGATAACTTACGTAGTAATTAAAGGAGAATGGTAAACTCTTTAACTAATAGAGAGTGGGTCAAAATAATATTGAATAGAATTAAGGTTAAAGATGGAACAAAAGAATATATAACTACTAAGAAGGGAGAAATCAAAAGAGAAATAAGAGGCTAATCTTCAGTTTACGGGGTACTATTATCACTGTGACATCTCAGAGGGAAATGTGATTATCTCGAAAATCATAATTCCGGCTGAAATTACAAATCTTAACTCTAGCGGAATTATAATTAATATCTACCAAAGTTATAAACTAACCGGAATTACAAATTTATGTCAGCCGAAATTATAATTAATATCTACCAAAGTTATAAACTAATGTCAACCGGAATTACAAATTTAATGTAAACCGAAAATATAAATCTTAATTTTACTGAAATTATAAATCTAATTTTGACTGAAATTACAACTTATAATAAAAGTTTGGCAAACTCGCAAATTTAGCATAAAGATTATCACATGATTAAAAGTTTGGCAAACTTTGTTCACCCTAGAGATGGATTTGTTTGAAGTTCCTTTGTCCACTTTCATTTTTATATTTCGAAAACAAGGCATGAATAACTTTATTTTAATAAAATATAATTATTATAATTAAAATTATAGTATATTTATTGAAATCGATAATCCATATATTCATCTTTTGTAATTGCAATACAAAAATCTCCAACTCTAAACCATTGTTCCTTTTTGATTTGCCATCTTCTATACCTTTCTTCAAAGTCTTCAAAACTTTCATCTTCTTCAATACCCCACCCATCTGCAAATCGTCGTTCAGGTTCAGGAGGTACTGATCCACATTCAATAATTATAGTTTGCATTTCATCAAATCGTGTTGGTTTAACTTTTGCATCTTTATTTACTGTCTCTCTATTTTGAACAGTGACTGACATTACATGTTGAACCATAGGTGAGATTCCTAAGGCTTCAGCAATATCTTGATAATATTCTTCTTTAAAAAGTCTCAAGTACGAAAAACCTGGAGTACCAGGATCAGAAAACATATTGATATTTTTTTTTTTCAAAATATTTTTGTTTATTATTTTTGAAAAAATTTTTGTAAATAACTTCTTGAAAGTGAACGTAAACATGACCTTTATATAATAAATAGAAAATTTCAAATTTTTATATTTGGATAGATTACTGTTTATTATTGATTCAAAAATAAGAATATTCTTAATTATAGATTTACGATAATAAAAACTATATACCTTAACTTATTACTAAATTTACCTATAAATTTTAAATAATGATCATAAAGCGCTAACCTTATTTATATTAATACTGCAAACCTCTTGTGCATGAGTTTTAATAAAATTACCATTATAATTTCTTGCAACATTAATGATATGATAAAGACAATCTAAATAAATTTCTGGGCTTATCTCTTTTTCACAAATATGAATATTATTATAAAAAGGATAGCTCGAATAATCCTTTATTTTATCTAATCGCCAAGTTACATTTACCTTTTGTATAATAATTTTTGAATAATCCAAATTTAAAGATTTAACCAATGAAATTAAATCGGATTGAGGATTGATTAATAATTCATTCGATAAATTATCTGATTCGATATAATTCTCAAGAATGACTTGTTTCAAAAGTTGTGAATTTTTTATATAATTATTATAGATAGAAAATCTCATAATATCACCAGTACCATCATTTCTTGTGGTATATGTATGCGTTGATTTACGTTTAGAATGATAATTCATCGTGTTTACCAAAAAATATATATATCATTGTTGTATTTATATCAATTCAACTGTACTATTTATAGAAATAAATTCAGATAACCTTATAAGGCTATCTAATAATAAATTGATTATCTATATAGTAATTTTAATTAATTATGTAATTTATGTAATATAAATTGAATAACCATATATAGATAACATTAAAGATTCGAATAATAACCAGTGGTACGTAATGCATCAAGAAATCCTTTTCACAAATTATCTTCATTCTTACATCACCAAATAAACTCTAATAGATGATCATCAATAAGACTTTTGTTACGATTTCTAGGTCGAACCTTCAATTTAACATTACCCCAAGTACCTTCAATAGTATTTGTATATGCTCCCGTCTCAGGATCCACAAAACATTCATTATGATTTACAGTCATGTGAGTAACCCCCAATTCTTCAAGATCCTTATATCCTCTCCAACAATTGGTCATTATTATAGATCCCGGTTTAACATATCTCACAATAATATCTCTAATAGTATCGGCATCTCTTTTTTCCACGACTCTCAAAAACATCTTTCTTTTATCATTACGTTCAATACCCCCAATTACCCATGCGCCATCAACCAACCGACCTTTATGATACTTTTGAACATCAAATTTTGACTCATCTATCTCTACAATCACGTCTTTACCACCGATAGCACTCTTCTCATCTTCAAGTGTACTAACCATCAATTCATGAAACAATTGCATATATCTTGTGATTGTACCTGATGAATGACCAGTAATTTTCAAAATAACTGTATGATCGGCTCCACATAACCAATAATAACCAATAAGTATTGCATTCGAGCAACTAATACGACCACCTGAAAAGAATGAATCTTTGTATATTAATATAGATCCACGACACTCATGATCATTACATCTAAACCGTTTTCCATCTAAATGAACTGCAGAACCACATTTAAAACAAGATTGAACCTTGTATAAAATATTTTCTTTGAATAAAAATTCAATACATTTATTTTCGTTATATAAAATTTCTGATATGATTGTTAAGATTGGGATTGACATTTTTTAAATATCGAAAAAATACATGGTCACATCCCTTACATTTATAGATCTTTTCTTAGATTACATGTATCAATCATGGTTCTACAACCACATGGATGTTGATACTTTGTATAATAATTCAGAACTTTTGCCTCACAATGAAGCATCATAATTACAAAAATTACAAAAATAATAATTGATTGCATTTTTTTTATTGAGAGAAAAAAATAAAACATGTCTATTTATACAGGAATGAGAACCCCATTTAACAATTGTTGAATTATATGTATCAATCTCGATACCCTAGCCACTGAAGCAAAAACTACGATAAAAATTGAAAAATTTTCAGAGATAATCCTCTTGTTATCATCAGGTACATGTTCAACGAATCGATCAGAATACATATCAATCAATTCGCTAACTTCGATAACCAATTTCTCGATTTCCTCATCTGTTGGTTTCTTTCTAAATCTATTAAACACTACAGAATTGCTAAATGACATATCAATACCAAGATTTTTTCCCACATCTTTCTTGAATTGAAGAGAATTCGTTTCAAAATGCCATACAATATGATCTACTATATCTTTAGATAAAAAATCTTTTTCACAAGGTATACAACTAATATAACTAATTTCCAATTTACTCTCAAACTTGAACTTATTTGTATTTTCTACAGATGCAGATAATAATGGTAATAAATCTTTGTTTAAACTCTCTTCATTATTATTATTATCATCATTGTGATTATTGTAACCATTATCGTGATCGTTATCACCATTTTCAATATTAATAGTATGATCGCTATTATTATTATTGTTGTCATCTCCATTATTCCTATTCAGATCTTGGTCTATACGAAAACATCTGTTAAAAAATTAATCAACAAATTCAAAAAAAAAACATATATCATTAATTCTCACTTTTTATTCTCAGTAATATCATCATCACCATCATCATAATTATCTCTGTTTCTTTTGAGCGAATCAATATCATCTCTTATACTTTTAACCATTGTATACATAGCATTCATCGTGGATGCTATAGCTTGAGGATTTGTACTGTTTAAATCAATATATCTAGTCGCAGTAGTAGTCTCCAATACTATGCTGGGTGGACCTCTCAAGTAACTATCAGTATCATGTTCATGACCAATAGAATACCTTTGAATTTCATCTGAATAATTTTTGTATCTCAAAATTCTATACGTTTTATCGAGATCATTGACTTGAATATAATAATAAAATCCGGTGTTAAATCTAATATATCGATTTCCTTGAGCTGTACTGGTTTGAGTTACACACTATTCTTTATCAATATTCCATAAATTACAGATACAGTATATATTTCCTGATCATAATCCATGCACGGAATCTCATGAATCTTATCATACACCACAAAATAATTTTTTCTTATCGGACTATATACTAAATTATTCAAATCTTCAAATACTGTATCAGCAACTGGTCGTCTATTCTTCTCTACATTAGAAGTTGGAAGCTCACAAGTTGTAGATACATTAATTATCAAAGTTCTGACATGAAAGGTTGTCTTGATCAGATTAATTTTTATCTTATCATTCTTCTCCCCACCCTGATCGACTGACAAAGGAAGTGCAATTCGACTCGAACCAGTATCATTTCTATTTCCATATACCCTGACTCTCCAAAGAAAATAAAAATCTAACACAAACTTATTACGTGTATTATTGTTTACTGGCATATCTTGAAATAACATATTCGAAATATAATACATTGAAGGCCAATATAGAAATGTCGATTTCTTTTCAGCGCTAAGTGACATATTATTAACATCTCGTTGATCGAACACCTTTTGAATCACTGAATTATATTTTCTTTGACTTTCTACTTTTGATCTCACCCCGCAATGTTTTTCTAATTTAGATAACTCTGGAAAAATTGGTGGACAAAAACTAGGTTGAGGTTATTGACGAGCTATTGTTCACAGTATGCGTATTGGTATTCGTTGGTCGGAAACAACAAGAACAATTTGAAAGACAAAAACCCTCTTTTCCAGGAAAACAACAAATACAGCTATGATTATACTTAATTTCAACCCTAGCAATAGTCATATTGGTCAGATCCGATGAAACCTTTTTCTTCCTAGTCACACTTGCTTTTTTTGTAATAGATTTAGTAGGTTTTTTCACCGATTTATCCTGTTTCTTTACACCCTATTTCTTCGGAGCACCTTGTTTCTTCAGTCAACCGCAAGAACTCTTAGTTGACGCCAGATTGTATTAAACCCTCAATATGATTGATCAATGATGTAAAAAATTTTTTTGCAAATAATGTCAACACCTGTTGGATATGTTGAATAGAAATAAGACCTTTACCAATTTGTGAAGTGTATATTATAATAATGAATAGTAAAAAACAACACTCGAACATAAAAAGTATAATCAATAAATCAAGGATATGACCTCGGTCCATTTATTTTTTTTTAAAAACATCACGAACCAACTCTATATTTATACATTTTTTAAAAACTACACCATAGAAGATGCATCCTTACTAATACGAACTATTCTCTCTATCTTTGACCTCAAGGTCTCATCAATCGAATAACTTTCTCCAAAATTTGTCAATATCTCATTAATCTTTTTATCGATAAAATTAATTTCCCCCTGTAAACCACGAATCATTGATGTAATACGAATTACCTCGGAAGATTTGATAGCTTTTACCTTTGTACTCACTTTAACAATCTTTCCCATCTTGGTCTCAAACGTATCTTCCATTTCTATCTTGACACCAAGATTATTTAATATATTATTTGCTTGTTTTTCTACCGCAACAATCCTTGGATTATTATTTGTTAGTGCAGTATTCTTAGTTCTCAACTTTGCAATTAAAGCATTAATACGATTAACTTCTGTTGATATTGAGATTGACATATTTTCTGAACATTATAAAATATCATATCTATATATACTTGAAAATTGTTTACGATTGTTTCACTCCTCGACTGCTATCTTGAAAGAATCAGTATGATTTATATCAGGATTAATAGATACTATCTTATGCATCTCAGTGCTCAAAAATTCATTATATTCTGTTTTTGCATATTTTCTTTTTGGTCTCCTGATAATCTCATCTTCATTTGATGAATCAATAGTACAATGTAACTTGCATAAATCATTATACTTCATCAATTCATCCACAAACTTTTTTCTCTTTTT